TGATGTACATCTGAGCGCTGGAGTCTATATGTGCACTTGAACGTTTATACATTGAATTTATTCAGCGCAGGATTGCTCATGCGCACAACAGAAGCTTGTTTTAAAAATTGTGAGAAGGACATTCAGCTGACCTAATGGCGATCATTGTGAGAAATGGCCGTCCAGATCAGTGAAATCATGGATTCAAAGCACAGATATCATATCCGGAAAGTACTTGATTTTCCAGGTGTAGGAAAACTTGCTAGGGAACTGGGAGGATTCCGTGGGTGAGCCCACTTCAGTGCGGGAAACGGATGCAGCCGTCTGACCAGCAGTTTTAACTGTGAGAGGGAACAGCAGTGAAACCCGATCAAAAGGACCGCGTGACCACAGCCTTATACTGCTCACCCAGACCTAAAGATAAAATTCCAAATCCCCGATTTCTCCCCCTCAGGCCCTTAAAAAACTGACATCCAGGAGACGAGACTCCCAACATGAGGGGGTCAGCTGATAGTAAGGTTGCCACATACACACACCCTGGGCACCAGAGGGAGGTGGGGGGGTTGCCAGTTCCAGGTTGAGGAACTCCTGGAGATTTGGGAATGGAGCCTGAGGAGGACAAGGACCTCAGCGGGGCGCAATGCCACAGAGTCCACCCTCCAAAGCAGCCATTTTCTCCGGGAGAACTGACCGGAGATGAGCTGTAATTCCGGGGGAATCCCCAGGTCCCACCTGGAGGCTGGCATCGCTAGCTGACAGCCATCAGGGCACAATGGTATAATTGGAAGTTTACCTTGAGGCATCTGATCAAGTGAGACTTGGCTCTCAAAAGCTTCTTCTGCAATAAATCGCGGTTGTCTCTACAGTGCTACCGGTTCTAATTCTGCTGCTAAAGATGTAACACAGCTGCCTATCTGGATTTGACTGAGATCTGGGCAATCATATGTTGTGTTAATTAAAAAATCCCCCTGTAAATACATTCACCTTGTTTGGAGCACTGCGCTTACATCCAAACTTTTTAAAAACTGTTTATTTTAATTTTACACACAGATTCGTTAGTGTCTTTATAACAATCTTTATGAGAATCGTTCCATCCGCTTAATAACACCCGTTTTTATGTCAATCCAGGATACATCTCTATTTTTCAACAATGCAGATAATTTAAAACATAAATAAAAAAGATTTCAAATTCTCGATCAATTCTCTGCATGTTGGAGGTTTCTTTTCCAGACCTTTGCGAATTCTATTCCCATGGCAGTAATATAAAGAGCATGGGTCCAGGATTTCATAGGGACAGTATTCAATATAATTTAAAAGAAGCATTTCAGGAGATACGTTTACTGTGTCCAACCTTTTAACTGGAGGTGGAGAATTCAGTTATTACGTCGAATGCTTGGTCGGGAGTAACAGGTTAAAAATCAAGAACCGCTGGGTCACAGGGATGTGAACATCCTGTCTGAGGGATTAAACCCACATCCAGGCCAATGTGGCTGGAGATCGCGAAGGTTTTCTTGCCATCTTCTGGGCATGGAACAGACGTCACTGGGGGGGGGTGGGGGGAGGGATTTGTGAATTTCCTGCATTGTGCAGGGGGTTGGGCTAGATGACTCTGGAGATCCCGTTCCAATTCTATGATTCTAGGCCTTGCTCTTTTTTCCCAAGTAAGCCTCAGGGTCAGCCTCAGGAGGGGATGGCCAGAGCTCCGCTGTCCGCACTTCTCCCATCTCCTCAGAACGCATGGACTTTGTGGTGAGAAGAAACGCAAGCAGAAGTGTGCCGTGTTACGCGGCCTCCCTGGGCACACTGCCCTTCGAGAAATGGGTAAGTGGTCCTCTAGTGAAGCAAGAATCAGGGGGGAGATGGAAAGAAAGGGAGCTGCGAAAGAGAGCTGTGATGATAGCGGGGTGTGTGTGTGTCTGTTCTGGACCTCCTTGATCTGAAAGCCCACAACTCTCTGCAACTGCCCCCGAACAGTAGAAACTTGATTCTTGGGCTCAAAACCAAAGCTCACATTCTCAGGAAATCGGATTCAGTGCCCAACACCACACTTTTTGATGCGCTCCTGTAGAATCAACTGTTGTGCGTCATCACTGGCTTTGGCTTTTTCTGAATGAGCGGAACAACACACTGGTGGGTGGGTGGGTGCATTTCCCCCTGTCCCCTCCACCGCCCTCAGAGACAGGAATGGTGGGGGAAGCCGGTGTCAGTTTAAAAAAGGAAGAAGCTGTTGATTTGCACTTCACTCCCCTTCTGGGCATCAGAGAGGAACTGAGAAGCTCGGGCCAGAACCTCAACTCAGCCTTCAAAGTCGACCTCCTCATCTTCCCAGGCTCTGACAGGTTAGGCACTGACAGATTAAGCACTGACGAGGGGCCATGGCACAGTGGTAGAACATCCACTTGGCATGCAGAAGGTCCCACGTTCAACCCCTGGCATCCCCAGTTAAAAGGACTAGGCAGGAGGTGATGAGAAAGACCTCCACCCGAGACCCTGGAGAGCTGTAAAGAGGGGCTGTGGCTCAGTGGCAGAGCACCTGCTTGGCATGCAGAAGGCCCCAGGTCCGATCCCTGGCATCTCCAGTTAAAAGGACCAGGCAGGAGGTGATGAGAAAGACCTCCACCCAAGACCCTGGAGAGCTGTAAAGAGGGGCTGTGCCTCAGTGGTAGAGCACCTGCTTGGCATGCAGAGGGCCCCAGGTTCGATCCCCGGCATCTCTAGTTAAAAGTACCAGGTAGGAAGTGATGGGAAAGACCTCTGCCTGGGACCCTGGAGAGCCACTGTCAGTCTGAGTAGACAATAATGACCTCAATGGATGAGTGGTCTGATCCAGAATGAGGTAGCTCCGTGTGTCATGTGACCAATGTGCAGTGCCTGGTACACACCAGAAGCTGTCTGGGAACAAAGTGGCAACTTCAGTGAAACGGCCTGAAGGTGGCAGATACTTGGAAGGGTCTTTTTGCTCTGTGCCGAGGCTGCTGCAGTGGAAGCAGTGCTGAGCTGGATGAACAGATGGTCTTATGGTGCTGTATAACTTTCCATGCTCGTATCTTAACACAATAGGATAGTATTAGTCAATGGCAGGCCAAGAATCGCACTGCCTTCCTCTGAGTCAGACCCTTAGCCGAACAAGGTCAGAACTGTGAACTTTAACTGGCAACGAGTCTCCAGGGTGTCAGGCAGAGTGTCAGAGGCCAGCTTTCTACACAGGAAAGATCCACGACTCATGCAGAGGCACAACAGGCAGCCCCTTTCAGAGGCCAAGTCCTTGTGTTGTGCAGCTGTGTCAGCAGTGACTGGGTAATCCAGTTGCACCAAGCACAGGGATGTGGCTGAACAACCCTTTCCTCTGCAGAGGCTGACTTGAAAGAGACAAAGTCATAGATGCAACAGGCAGCCTCCTTTGGCAGGGAGCCTGGGCTTTAAATGGATGTGTTTGTTTCTCAATACACTAGCATGCTTTAGTCCCACAATTGGGGAATCATTGATATCTCCCACTGTGTTCAAATTACCAGGTTACTTCCAGTTTTGTGGGGCTTAAAAACTTCTAAGCATCTAGGGGTGGAGGCTGATGGGCTGATCGACTGCAGTTCTTCTGCCCTTTGAGCGTGGATTGTGCAAATCCATGCAGACGTGAGGACTAAGCATTGCTTTAAAATGTTATTGTTTGTTGGTAAACTCAGCCAGAAGTGTTCCTCCCCTTTTACGGATCATAGAATTGGAAGGGACCTCCAGGGTCATCTAGTCCAACCCCCTGCACAATGCAGGATCCTTGTTCTGAATTCATACACGCCTCCCTAGAAAACCACTACTGAGGCAGTAACAATGGAAAGAAGGGTGATGCAAAGCTTTGGTAAAAGCCTTTCTAGAGATGTGCTGTAAACAACTGCCTGCTAATGAGATATTGTTTGCTGCAACTCACAAGAGGGCATATAACTGATCTTTTGAAGATATATTGTTTCAGTTACTGAAGAAGTTCTTCGAAACAGAGTTCTCAATATCCGGATCCTTCGTTTATTTTTCTTCATACATCTTCACCTCAAGAGAGATCTTTTCTACTTGTTGACATTGTTTGATACCTCAAAAGATTACTTTTCTACTTTAGACATTGTTTATATGTGATTATACTTTGCTTTGGGAGTATTACTCAGTTTTTTGTGTATTAGTATCAGCGTCTTTCTTCTTTTGCATCCCTAGAAAACCACAGCAAATGGTGACTTTGGTTGTAATTGCAACCAGTGTTCCCCTCTAAGCTGAGTTAGTATGAGCTAGCTCACATTTTTTTAGCCTCCAGCTCACACATTTTTGTCTTCACTCAGGAAGGATGGCTGCAGACCAAACTTATTTATGCCATAGCCAAATCGCTCGCTCACAACTTTAATGCCAGGAGCTCACAAAGTAGAATTTTTGCTCACAAGACTCCACAGCTTAGAGGGAGCATTGCTCCAGAGCAAACTAACTTATGCAGCAGCCAAATCACTCGCTCACAACTTTAATGCCAATAACTCACAAAGTAGAGGTTTTGCTCACAAGACTCCACAGCTTAGAGGGAGCATTGACTGCAACTTGCCTTCACCCGAATAGCCCAGGCTAGCCCAATCCCATCAGAACTCGGAAGGCAAATAGGGTCATCCCTGGCTAGTACTTGGATGGGTGACCGCCAATGAATACCAGGGCCAGGAGGCCAGAGGCAGGCCATGGAGAACCACCTCTGAACGTCTCCTGCCTTGAACACCTTGCGGGGTCACCAGAAGTCAGCTGTGACTTGATGGCACTTCCCACTTTCAAACTGCAATTTACAGTCTAAAATCTAAATTTCATGGGGGAAACTTGCAGGTGGTGGTGGAAAATGCCAACAACCCGCAGCTGACCCCGGAGGGTTTGCAAGGCAAGCGACAAACAGAAGTGCTTTGCCTTTGCCTGCCTCTGCACCGCCACCCGGGACTCCCTTGGTGGACTCCCATCCAAGGACCAACGAGGGCCAGCCCTGCTTAGCTTCTGAGATCTGACAAGATTGGGCTAACCTGAGCCGTCCAGGTCAGGACGACCTGCAGAGAACCATCTACATATGGACGTTCCCCCAGGCTGTAAATAGCAACTCCCGAGCTCCTTTGCACCCGCTGTGGAAAATGCAACTCGGCTGCAGCGTACAGAACCACCAGATCATTGAGAGCGCACCTGCCTAACATTCATGAGAACACAGAAATGGAAAAAAACAAGGTGTGTCGAGCGGTTTCAGTGGGGCCCAGGGCATTTGGTGATGTGGTGCAAACCAGGCAAAGAAATGCACAGACATAAGCATGGGCGGTTAGACCAAGAGGCGTGCTCTGATTCAAACCCATTTATCTGGAAAGTGACGGAATCAGTCGGACTTGCTTCTGTGTAAACAGCCTTGAGGGGTTTTTACCCCCTGATAAGGAACACCTTCCTTTAATAAATAAGAACCTCCTTAGGCAGTGAAATCCTGCAAGTGTTTTCCTGGGAGTAAACCCCATTCAATAGACCTGAGTAGGATTCTGAATAGACCTGCTTAAAGACTGTTCTCTAACTTACTTCCAATTCACAGCTAAAAGAACACTAAAGGTGTGCAGGGAGGGGGGACATAGGCAGCAACTAGTGCCCCCTCTAAGCTGTGGAGTCTTGTGAGGAAAAAAATCTACTTGGTGAGCGACTGGCATTAACGTTGTGAGTGAGCGATTTGGCTATGGCATAAATTAGTTTGCTAATGGTGAAAGTCATTACCAAGAACTGGTTGATGAGGTGAAAGTCATAGATAGCAGTGAACATGTAATTTGGGGATTTAAGGTCTTGGGGAAAGGAAAAGCTGTATGTAAGATATGTAGGCTGTACTTTAGAAAAGCTCATTTTAACAAACTTAAAGTTATGCTAGTTAGAATCCCATGGTCAGAAATACAAAAGGAGGCTGGTTTATGGTGACATGCTGAGCAGACTCATCTCCCGGACCTCCCGGGGATGAAATCTGCACACCAGCAGAAAGGGGGGGGCGACGTCTCGTTACTCCCCCGGAGCCTGGTTGAAAGGCTCCTAGCCATGGAACTTTTGAGAGGTGGCTTCTTCGCCAGCGCGATGCTGGGGAATTGAGGCGCTTCTCCGTCCTGATGGTCCTCCTGCTGTGTGTCCGTATGGAACTAGTGACACTGACCGGGACAAGCACTGGAGATTGAGCGGTTTAAATGGAGCTACAGCAAGGTCAAAAGAGCGACCATGAATTGTGAGTTGGAATAGAGCGCAATTGACAAGCTAAAAAGAAAGCTCCCACCCCACAGACTAGAGAGTAAAGCAAGCGAGGGAGGGGCCCCTCCCATGCGCATGAAATAAAAAGTGAAAACCGAGGGGGGAGCGGAAGTAAAAGTGTTGAAATCTATTGGGAAAGACTTACTAAGGCGCAGATGAGTGTATGAGCACATATTCAGAGACTAACAAACTTTCGGAGAGTAAAGATGGCGGGGAAGAGGACAGAGAAAGAAAAGATTTCAAAAGCGAAAGTAGTTGAGAGCCCTCACCCAGAAGGAACCACCGAGCTGGCTAAAACGTTGGCAGAATCCCTGCGCCCCCTGCTGGACCAGATGACAAATCTCAAGGAACAGTTGTCAACGATGAACCAAAGCATCACTACTCAGCAGCTACAATTGAATGAGACTCTTAAGATTATGGAGCAAACAGCTGAGAAAGTGAAAGAAGTTGACGCCAGTACTCAAAAGGTGAAGAAAAAGGTGCAAAAATTGGAAAAGAAGCAAATTTCTACAAAAGAACAACTTTTGCAGCTGCAAATGGAGAAGGCAAACCTGGTCCTCTGATTCCAAGGTGTCCCAGAATCCAAAGGTGAAAATCTGAAGCAAATAATAAGCGAAGCATTGGCCCCAGTGACAGATTTCAAGGCGGAATACCTTATGAGCCAGATGGATGTGGCCTACAGGTCCTATTCTGTATACATAAAGAAGAATAATCTGCCTGGGGAAATAATAATCAGATTTTCGAAGAGGCACGTGAGGGATTCTATCCTGAGAGCGACTGCAGGGTCACCTTTGATAATTGGGGACAATACTATTAGAATTTTGAAAGACATCCCATTTGAAATAAGACGACAGAGAAAGAAATATAAAGAGTTAATTCTTTTCCTTCAAACAAATGCAATCGTGTACAGGTGGTTAACTCCGGAGGGCATAACCTTCAAACTTCAGGACAAAAAAGAAAAGATTGACTCTGTTTCCAAAGCACGGCAGTTTTTGAGAATCCAGATGGGTGAGCCAGAGGAGGCGGATAAAGAGGAGAAGGACAGCAAGTCCAGTGGCAAGTTGGACTCAGGGTCTTCCGGGGAGGACTCTCTTTCTAAAAAAGGGGCGGCTGCCCCTAAAAGTCCATACAAACTGAGGAAAAGACAGGATAAGAAAAAATGAAGGCTGAAGGACTCTGATTTGTGCCTTTGAAAGTATAGTTTTTAATAATGAGATGCTGGTTTTTCTCTAATAGTTAAATAAGACTTAAAAGATATTTTAGCATGACTAAGTTCAAAAGATACTAGCATTTTAAGAAAAGCTTTTTACTAAAGCAGTTGTAATGATCTCCTCTCTTGGGTTTTTAGTTAATAGTGGTTATTCTTTTCTTTCTCCTTAAATGTAGTCCCCTTTCTCTACTTCTACTTTCGTTGTAGTTTGTAGTATAATTAAAAAATGCAATAAAAAATCCCCTCCGGGGGGCCAAAAAAAAAAAGAAATACGAAAGGAGAAGGGAGTTCCAGAGCGGTGGGGGTTTCTTAAAAGTGAGATACTGAAGGCACAATCGCAGGCGATTCCAATGAGAAGGAAAAACGGGAAGAACCTAAGGAAGCCAGGGTGGTTCCATAAACAGCTTTCTAAAGATCTGAGAATGTTAAAAGACTCATTTAGGAAATGAAAGGAGGGCCATGTAACCAAGGATGAATATTAAAAAATAGCCAGTGCTTGCAGGGAGAGTGTTAGAAAAGCTAAAGCTCAGTATGAGCTTAATGTAGCGAGAGAGCTAAGTGCAACAAAAAGGAGTTCTTTGCTTATGTTTGGAGCAAGAGAAAGAACATGGAGCTGGTAGGCCCATTGTGAGGAGGGGAAAGTGAAATTTTAGCAGGTGATGAAGAAAGGGCAGAACTCCTCAATTCCAGCTTTGCCCCAGTCTTCTCTTGTGGCGGAAACGGTGCTCAGCTTGGCAAAAAGAGAACACCTGATGAGGGAAGGGAATTGCAACCCAGGATCGGCACAGGAGTGGTATGTAAACATCTGGTTTATTTAAATGAAATTAAGCCCCCAGGGCCAGATGAATTGCCAGGGTTGCCGTGTCCCCCCAGTTACTGGTGGGGGTGCCAGATCCAGATGAAGAAAGTCCTGGAGATTTGGAGATCAAGTCTGAGGAGAACAGGGACCCCCGCAGTGGAGCACAATGCCCTGGAGTCCACCCTCAAAAGCATCCATTTGCTCCAGGTCAACTGGTCTCTGTAGTCTGGAGATGGGCTGTAATTCCAAGGGATCCCCAGGTCCCACCTGGAGGCTGGCATCCCTATGAATTGCATCCGAGGGTACTAAAGGAACTTCCTGATGTAATTTTGGAAACTCTGACCATTTTTTTTGAGAATTCTGGGAGAACAGGTGATGTGCCAGAAGACTAGAGGCGGGCAAATGGTGTCCCCATCTTCAAGAAGGGGGGAAAGGAGGGTCCAGATACCTACTGACCCATCAGCTTGACACCTATTTTGTTGTTGTCCAGTCACACAGTCGAGTCCAACTCATTGTGACTCTTCATCTATACCTGGAAAAGTTTTAGAACAAATCATCAGTCAGTCAGTCCTTGAGCGTTTAGAACGGATGGCTGTAATTACTAAGAGCCAGCTCATGTTCCTCAAGAACAAGTCATGTCAGACTAACCTTATCTCCTTTTTTGAGAGAGTTACTACTTTGTTGGAGCCGGGGAATGCTATAGACATAGTTTATCTTGATTTCAGTATGGCTTTTGATAAGGTTCCACATAATGTTCTTGTTGACAAGTTGGTATAATGTGGTTTGGATCCTAAGGTTGACAGATCACACCCAAAGAGTGCTTGTGAATGGTTCCTCATCCACCTGGAGAGGAGTGACAAGTGGAGTGCCTCAAGGATCTGTCCTGGGACCTGTTTTATTCAACATCTTTATAAATGATTTGGATGAAGGAATAGGGGGAATGCTCATTAAATTTGCAGATGACACTAAATTGGGAGGGGTAGCAAACACAGTAGAAGTTTCTTCTTTTTTTTTAAGCAAGCATTCCAGAGTAGAGGGGTCAAATTTGTTTGTTACGAGGGCCAGATCTGACACAAAAGTTACTTTGTCAGGCCGGACCATAAAATGTAATGCCAGGTACCAGAGATATAAACTTTATAAAGGACACAGGGAAACCTAATTAACGATATTACTTTTTACTCAAAATACAAACAAAAGGAATTGATTCCTAGGAGCGAAAGCAATGGATTTACTGGGGGAATCCACAAAAGTGTTAGATCCCAAATCAGGAGAATAGATCCACGTTCAAAATGAAGCAAGATTTATTTCCAAAGCATGGTTGATCACGAACATACAGAGATTGTTAGGAATAACTACAATGCCCAGGGAAGGTGTATTAAAGTAACTTCAAACAAGGTTTAAACCAATGAGCTCATTTCCCTCTTTAGGTTACAGATTAGAAAAGGCGCGAAGCGGCCTGAGAACAGCAACGGCCAGTTCCATAAACACTCGTTGAGTTCACACGGGAAATCTAAACAAGCCAGAGCGTCAAGACACAACACCACATCACACCAGCTGGAGAACCTTGGCAGTTACAGATGCCCTACATGTAAAGGATAACAACTACAGGAGGGAGGGAGGGGGTGGGTACGAGAAAAGGGACGAGACTTGTCCCAAGGAAATGGCAGCTCGCTGACATACTGCCCACCTGAAAATACAACTTACCCCCCACCTCCCGGCCCCGGCGGGCGATCTCCCGGTTTCCCCGGGAGGCCTCCCGGTTTGTCCGGGAACTGCTTGTGGAATGCACGAACGTGATAAGGGGCCCGAATATCCCCTTCTTCCACCCATTCCCGG